TTAAGTCACTTAATCACTAAAATGTGAGTCACTTGATTCCTAAAACAAATGAAAACAAAACATCACACAATAATCCAGATATTTCTTGGAGGTCTGAATTCCAGTGCTGAATTCCTTTCAGCTCTCGTTTTGCAGTGCTGAACGGCTCTGTTTCAGAGCTGAAGCCGCCTCAGCACTTAGTACCACTTCAGCTTTGGTTTTCCAGAGCTTAGAAAGGAGGGCGTTTCTTTTGTATATCTGTCTGAGCGAAGTGAGGAAAGTAGTGTTAAGTGCCTTAACTTTCCCACGGGCACAACGTTGGTGACTTGGCAGGATTCGAACCCGGGATCTCTTGATTCTGAGCCGAATTCCCTGCCATTACGCCACACAACCTCACCCTTCTGTCCGGTCAGAGAACTCTGTTCAGTCTGTTCTGCCGTTCTTAACCTTATTGATTGCTGGGGGCTAGACTGAAAGAGTTGAAAATGTAAAGGTCCGTTTCTTGAGCCTCTTCCGACTAACAATTCATTGAAAGTTCATTGAATACGTCCATGTGCACTTATGACGATGGTGTACTCACTTCATGTCCCACTTAGCTCAGCATCATTTCTAAGGACGAAGGCCATCGATCTTGATGACAACTGCAGGTTCGGGGTAGAGCTCGATAGATTCTAAGAATATGATGAATACGACCTCTGAAACCTATTAGCAAGGAATGCAGACAGCTTGTATCCATTAGTTTCTAAAGCGTTCCTGAAGGAAGTTGCACTGAAATGTGTAGATACGACAAAAGGATGTCTCACACGTACAAACTGCCCTGTTCACCATTGTTAATTTTTTTTATCTGCCTAAAAGTTCACATTACAAAGTCCTTAGCAGACGCCTCACTGACGTCAATGATGCTCTTAGTATCTATTTCTAAATGGGGCCAACGTAACGGTCTACTTCCTTGGAGGCACTGCAGCGTGTTTGACATATCAACTAGGCCATTACTGTCACTAAAAGGGGTTTAACAGGAACTTTAAATTCACTCCATCAACTGTTAAGAGAAAGAAGCAAAGTTTAAGTTTCTCACAGTGATCTGATTTAATTTTAGACCATTAATCTTTGCCCAATGCTGATACGATTTTTTATGAATCTCCAGGATCTTTAATCTATTATTGTTATATTTTCTGTTCATCATTTTCCAGTAATAGGTCTATAATTTTTTTGGTATATTTTGCCTCTTCTGCAAAGATTTACTATTTCATTCAACGTTATGAACGTTTCTTTCTTTCTAAATCCAGTGTATTTACTTACCTATAAGTATATTGCACACGTAGACAACGACAATCATTTTCAAGTATTAGGTCTATGAATTTTTTATATGTTGCCTCTCCATCTGCAAATATTTAGAGTTAAACGTTTCTTTCTTTCTAAATCCAGTGTATTCAATTACCTAATAGTATATTGCGCACGTAGGCGACGATTAAGCCAAGATGAACTGACGTCTCACTAGTAGCTAGCTAGCTGGGGGCGTCCCTCTGAAGCGTCACGTTACTGCCGGTAGTGTAATTGAGTT